AGTTCCATTCCCGCCTGCCCTGGGAGGAGTCCACATGGTGTGGCAGACCTCTCCTGACCCGCCTGCTGCTCCCCTCAGCAGTGTACTTGTCGATCTGCCTGTTCTGCTCCCCACTCTGTCTCTGATGAATCCTCTCACCCTCCGCATCTCTGGCCTGTACCCCAGTTCTATATGAATAAATAAATCTTTAAAAAAAAAAAAAAGTAAGTGGTACTCGTAAAAAAAAGGCAAGTACAGCAATATTTATATCAAATAAAATAGATATCCAGGTAAAAAAGAAAATAAGAGGCAGGGATAAAGGTATATACTTATTAAGGAATCTGTGTGTGTGTGTGTGTGTATCAGATGAAAGCATCAAAATATAAAAAAACTATTTTAAAAAAAACACTAAAAACAGATATTGACACCAACACAACAGCAGTAGGGGACAACACCACACCACTTCCATGAATGGACAGCTTAACAAGACAGAAAATCAAAAGGAAACCACAGAATTAAGCAAAGAATTAGAGCAGATGCTTAACAGACATTTGCAGAGTGTTGACCACCCCTCCCAAAAGCTGAGCACAAATTCTTCTCAAGTGTACTAAATATTCTTAAAGACAGACAACATGCTGGATAACAAAACAAGTGTTAATACATTTATGACAACTGAAATCATATCAAATGTGTTCTGAGGTCATGTTATCAAACTAGAAACCAAACACAAAAAGTGGGAAAATCTCAAATATCTGGTGATTAAAACAGATGCTACTGAATAAATATTCAACTGATAAGAAAATCAAGGAGATTAAAAAACATCTGGAGACAAAAATAAATGAAGATACAAACTAACAGAACCTATGAATACACCAAAAACTACTATATTAATAAGTATGTATATAACAAGATATGTCTACAAAAAAAGAAAGACTTCAAATTAATAATATAACCTACCACCTTAATGAATTAGTAAAAGAACATAGAAAAACAAAAATCCTCTAGCAGGTTCAAAATATGGAACATCAATAAATTAAATTGATGTCAAAGACATTCCAAAATATTAATGAAACCAAAAGCTAGTTCTTTTAGGAAGTAGACAAACATATAGCTTGGATCACTTAAAATAAAAACAGTAGGGCTTTCCTGGTGGCTCAACAGTTTAAAACACAGCATTATGAAGCTCTCTGCAGCCACTGCAGCACTAGTTCCATGCCCAGCCAGGGAGCTGACCCACATGGAATGGCAGACTTCTTCTGATCCGCCCGCTGCTACCCTTCGCAGTGTACTTTGTCAATCTGCCTGTTCTGCTCCCCACTGTCTCTGGTGAGATCTCTCACCCACCACACCTCTGGCCTGTACCCAGTTCTATAAGGATAAATAAATAAATTTAAAAAAAAACGTAAATTGAGTAAGTAGAATCAGAAATGAGAGAGAAGATACAACAGATATCTCCAGAACAGAGAGGGTACCAAGAAATCACTACTACTGTGAACATCTAAAGCCAATAAACTGAATAAACTACAAAAAAATGAACAAATTTTTAGATGCATATAAACTTACAATACTAAATCAAAAAGAAATAAAAAAAACTCAAAACAGGCAAGCAAAAAAAACCCAAAAAACACCTATGACCAAATCAAATCACTGTTACTAAGTTCAACCATTTCAAAGTCAAAATAATATCTATGGTTCACAAACTCTTAAAAAATAAGTAACAGTGAATGCTTCTAAATAAAATTAATGAGGGCAACATTATTCTGATATCAAAGGTAGACAAGTTTATTACAAAAAACTACAAATAAATATCCCTAATGAACACAGACACAAAAAGCATATCAATAAAATCCTAGCAAATCAGTCAAAACTACATTTAGTAAAGCATACCTAGTTGAAAGTAGTTCAACATCCCCATATCCATCAATGATTCACCACATCAACAAGAGGAAATAATAACATTGTATGATCATATGAACAGATGCAGAGAAGGCATCTGACAAGATTAAGAATTCATTTATAATTAAAACTTGATGAAACAGGAATACAAGTACTACACCTCAACATAATAAAGACCATATATTACAAACCCATAGCTAACATTAAATTTAATGGTGAAAACTGAAAGGATTTCCTCAATGATAAGGTACATGACAGGGATGTCCACTTTTACAACTACATAACAGAGTACTAGAAATATTAATTAGGCAAAAAGAAGATATAAAAGGATTTCAAATTGTAAAACCACTACTACTATCACTATTTGCAGGTGACATACTAATATACAAGAAAAATTTAAAGAATCCACTAAAAACAATTATCACTAGAAACAATTTATAAGGAGAGTGAAATGGCAGGCCACAAAATCAATATACTAAAATCTGTTGTTTTCCTATATGCAAACAATGACCTAAAAGAGAAAGAAACCAAGAGAACAATCCCATTTAAAATCACAAAGAATGATATAACTAGGAATTAACCTAACACAGAAGGTAACAGAACTATACAACTATACAACAAAACTCTTAAGATTTTATTAAAAGAAACAGAAGATACAAGAAATGGAAAGATACATCTTTCTTATAGGTTGGATTTAACACTGTTAAAATGTCCGTGTCACTCAAAACAGTACACGGATTCAATACAATCTCTATCAAAGATTCAATGGAACAATTCAAGAAACTGAGCAAACATTATTGAAATTTATATGAAACAAAAAGGCCCTTAATAACCTAAGTAATTCTGACAAAAAATAAGTTATCATCCTCAGTCTTCAAATTATATTGCAACCTATTCAATCAAAAAGTATGGTTTAGAAGTAAACATAGACACAAAGATAATGAACTAGAACTAAGAAAAGAAAAATAAATCCACACTTGTATGGACAGTTAATTTACAACAAAGGAGCCAGGAGCTTACAATGGAGAAAGAAAAGTCTCATGTTCCACAATACTGGCTTCAGAGATATCTTTGAGGACCCAATTCCAGTGGCAAAGGAAGTCAAAGCAAAAAAATAAGTGGGACTATATATAAAACTAAACAGCTCTGCAGAGCAAAAGAAACGATCACTGAAATAAAGGTACCCTATGGGAAGGCAAAAAATATTGACACATACAAATGACAAGTGGCTAATATCTGAGAGTCACACAGAACTTATACAGCTTAACAAAAACAAATAAACCATTCAAAGCATGGGCAGAAAAGTTAAACAAGACACTTTTCCAAAGATTACAGATGATCAGCAGCCACATGAATAAAATACTCATTACCACTTATCAGATAAATGCAAATCAAAACGACAATCAGATACCCCCTTACACCAATGAAAAGGCTAGTGTCAGAAAGACCAGAAACAGGTGTTGGTAAATGATATGGAGTAAAGGGGATCCCTTATATACTTTCTCCTCTATGGAAAACAATATGGCTGTTCCTCAAAATCTTAAAAACAGATCTGCCCTTTTAGTTATCAATCACTCTAGGGTATCTATCTCAAGAATACAAAACCACTAACTTATATGTACATGCTGATGTGCACTGCAGCATCATTTACAAAGGCTAGGTTAACGAAACAACCTAAATGCCAAGAGACAGATTAGTGGATAAAAATGTGATATCTATACACTATAGATTACTACTCAGCTACAATAAAAACATGAACTCTTGTCATTTGCAATGATGTGGACGGAACTGAAGGTGACTATGCTAAGCAAAATAAGTCTGAAGGAGAAAGACAAATATCAAATGATTTCACTTACATGTGGACTATAAAGAATAAAAACAAAGGAACAGGCAAAAACAAGCCCTAGATATCAGACTGTAGCATCAAGGCTTCCAGAGTTGGATAGTGTAGGGCAGGGAGCAAAGTGGGGCAGAGTTGCAAAGGGTTGTTGTGGAGGATTATGGGTACTTTGTCAGTTGAGTGTCGTGAGACAACATACATCTGAAAAGGTGTAAGCTTATATCCCTAAATCATATACAGTGTTGTAAATCAATGTTACTACTTCAATAAAAACTATGTAATTTAAAAAAGTAAAAATCTAAAAATGTGTCTGAAAGAAAACATTTTGATCATAAATACATGAATGACAAAACCTACCTCAATTTGATGCAATAAATTAGAAGCAAATAATGAAAAATGATCAAAATATAATGTAGGTTAAATAAACTTCTCCAGAAAAGAAAATACCAATGTAAGAAAGTTAATCTCTTATTAAACCCAACCTAGCAACATGGAAGAGTATTGTAAGCAATATATACCAGTGTCCAAATCCTTCAGTGAACTATATGAACCTTTCACTGATTCTATAGAAGTATCTTTTAAAACTATTTCTAATCTAAATTTATTTATCCTCCGTAGTTAAGTAAGTTCTAAGTAATAGGCACTAGATAATATATAAAATTTAAGTCTTAGAAATTTTAGAATTTTGAGAAAATAGGGAAGCAGAGTAGCAATTACTCATCTAGCACCTTGCTTCTGTACATATTTTGTAAAAGCTATATGAAAAGCTTCTTGAGAACCACTACTACTATTTCTTTATAACAATTTACTCAGAGATGTCTGAAGAATAATTTGAAAAAAAACATAAAATTTTAGTAAACTAAAAGTGAGAAGGGTGATTTTTTGTTTTCATAAAGACATGAAAATTTTATTACATTGTTTTAAGTTTAGCAAGTAGATATAAGCAGAATGTACTTTTATTCCCTTTGAAAGTTCTCTTTACATAGTTTCAGTATAATCTTTGAAACCTTCAGCACTTAGAAATGTAAACAGACATCCCTATGGATAAAAACATCTGTAATATATAAAAAAGGAAATAGTTCTGCAATGAAACAAAAAAAAATTCATCTTTTACAAAACCATGATTATATTTGCTTTAAAATCTGGAACAACCATGAAACTCCTCAAAAATACAAAAATTTGTTTATACTTCAAATTTGATTCTGGTACCTATTTTTGGCTTATACAGAGTTCAGGAAGGAACAAATCAAGAATATATTTATAAACTCACATGGACATTACTCACCCACATTTGGAGGTTTCACGTAATTTACAGGTAGTTCTGGAGGTCTGCCTCTATGTAGAGCTGCAAACGCAGACCCATTCCATAGTGTACTCTTACAGTCTATACAAAACAATCAGTAGTTAGTAAAGAAAAAGAACAGTTTTCCTGACTAGCTTAGAGGCAGATGTTTGTTTTCAACCTCATTTTCTAAAATACATTTCTAATTAGTAAAAACACACATGTTTAAACCATGCTACACACTAAATTATAGGCACCAATACCTTAATATATCATCAGAATATTTTATTTCTGTGTTGATCCAGAACTAAAGCTTTCATTATATGTATATTTGAATTTCATGTAAATACATTATGGATTAAGAGGTTTTAAATTTACACTGGTTCTTGATCTTTAGGCTTATACTCCTATGTCTACTCATATACCTATATAAGCAAGGGAACAACTATAGCACAAGCATTCTAGGTAAAATCCAGACACATTTATACTTGGTACATGGTCTTGTTATGGAGTACCTGCCTATTGTGCATAACTGATAACAAAAACATGTAGGAACTGATAACAGATTACAAATAGCTGTGTTCGTGTAAAAAGAAATTCAAGTAAATATTTTAAATATTCCTAAATTTTCAACTTTGAACCAAAAACATTCTACCATTCTCCTGAAAACTTCCAAAGTAACTAAATGGAAATATTTCCTTAAATTATAAAATTAGATATTTAAGACCTCCCCTGTGCTCTAGGGGTAAGTCTCAGTACTAGCACTGCAAGGGCCTGTGTTCAATGCCAGGTGAGGGAGCTAACTCACATACTGCACAGCAGACCTCTCCTACTGGTGCTTCTCCCATGCAGTTTATTTTAGTAAATATGCCTGTTATGCTCCCCACTCTTCTTTGGTGATTCTTCTCACCCTCACCCCTCCCGCACCTCTAGCCCATTGCCCAGTTCTTTAGATGTTTAAAATAAGGTATTATTTATGCAAATATTTATCTTTGTGCACTGAAATTTTTATTTTTGCTTTTATTTATGAGACCTAACCCGTAGGCCACCAGAAGCCATGAATTGAATCTTTTAGAACGTATACCAATAAAATCAACACAGAAATTAACTGGTTGCTATACCTCAAGTATTTATTACACTAAGAATCATTTTTAACACCTAATTTCACTTTTCTATGTTTGCAAAAATATTATTTATATTTTTATGAGGCTTTTTGTAAAACTGGGGAAAATCTATAAAAGTTGGAAAATAGCACTATAGAGAAACTATTATTGAACTGTCATCGATGGGGCAATGTTTTTGTTTAAATATTTTGGATCAATACAAGCGGCTATTAGTGGTCAGAGAATTACACACTGTGAAAGAGATCAGAAAGGGAGACCATTCTAGAGATAACAGAAGAGACAGAAAGAAGACATGACAGAAAAAAGGAATGATTATGTAATGGAGACAGAGACTGAGGGGATAATGTGCTTTTGGAAGCACTGACTGCTTAAAAATAACTATTTCTTGTATTTGGTGTATGTGTATGTGTTTGTTTACAAGGAGTAAATTTTTTTTCAACTATCTACTTAAAGTTCACTGAGTAGAAGAATTTATTATGACCTTCTTTGTTCCAAGAACACAGTACAATTAAGAGTTGGAAAAACTCAAATCCTCCAAACATACACAATTGTCAATCCAAGTTTACACTTCTACTGGAACAGAATGATAATGCAGATATTGATTCATTCTTCACTAATCCCACCTACTTTTAGTGTTCATTCTAGAGACTTTGTGTTTGTTTTCCTTCATTTAGACCTTCATTAATAACTGCCATATTTTGTTTTGATGTGCTCCTAAATGTAGTTGCACAAAGTTCAGTAAAAATAATGCTGCTATCACGTATGTAAATATTGAAGTATGATGATTTGACTGTATGGCGATGTGTAGCAGTCTCTTAGTTTGTTATCTTACCTCTTTTGTTTTTAATCTTAAAAAGTCACTTTTTAATTTATTCAGAGTGATGTGAACTCTACTATCTAGTTATTATTTTTAATAAAAAATTCTTATGTTAAATAGCATGGTTGATGCGATTGTGTACACCATTCCCCTCCAAATTCTGTATATTGCATTAGAACAATCATCACTTATGTGTGTAGTTGAGGAAAATTATTCCCATATATTACAATGTTACTGCTTTATAGTCAGTATTGGCAAACATTAAAACTTAAATATTTTCAATAATAAAAGATTTACATATAATTTTCATTCACCTAGTATGAAATATATATTAGGATGACGTCAAGACATATAAAGATTAACATTATAATGTAATAAAAGATTACCTTAAGCATTTATACTGTACTAATCAGAGCAGTGGTCTCTATTACATGATTACAAAATTTTATTTTCCACAAGATTGTAAGATTTTATATTCTTTATATCTATGACAGTGACTGTTTTTACAGAAAAAGGCTCCTTTTAGGAGCCTTTTTAGGACTCTAAAAACTTATAGGAAAAAGAAAACTTTAAAAATATTAGCAAGATAAGAAAAACCAGAAGAAAATTATTATTCAGAAAACTATGGGAACATCACTAAATGTAAAAATAGTCCACTCCCCACTCCTGCCTTGCAAAGTTGTGAAAATCTTACCTTTGGCATCCCGTAAGAGAGATTGCCGACCAACGCCTAGTAATGTCTGTACCCCAGGAACACTCTGAGGGATCTCCTTATCTAGTAAGGGACCAATCCGCTCACAAATTTTAAGGAGGTAGTCTGGAGGAATGTGTGCATTGGCTGCCACCTAAAAAGCATACACAAAGCACATAAAAACAAATCTGGGTTAAAAAAAATCTAGTCCATTATCAAACAGTTCCATCCAAAATGGATCAAACTATCATTGTAAAGTACAGGAAAAAAATAACATTTTAAATATGTAATGCTTATGCCAAATATAAGAAACAACTACAAAAACTGTGTACATTTAAATGATACTTTAACATTTAAATGACGTGGCACTCTTACTTTTATATCCCATGATTTAAATCATTTGTTTAGCTATCAATCTTAGGAAATTTTTCATAAGTGTTACAAAAGCAAAAGTGAACATGCCTAAAATCAGAAGTAAAAGATGACAATAACTTTACTAGTAGTTGATTTATTCAGTAGTAATGATGAAATGATGAAGAATCAAGGGTCTACATTCTATATAAACAAGAATGTAAACAAAAGGTATTGCATCAACCTCACCTAAGTCCCGTTAGAATTTATAAGAGCCATTTTAGTAATAAAGCAGAATCATTTTTCCCAGAACAGTGAACTGGTTTCTAGGAGTATCAAATTAATGATTTTATAACTAGTGTGAACTGAGGAACTGAGCAACTGAGCTTATGTACTCAACATTCATTACAACAGTTACTTGTGTGTTTTTTTTTAATGCAAGTAAATTTTTGAAGTTGACTAACATGTTTAAGGATGAGACAATTAAATCACAACAGAACTGTGTCCCACCTCACACACACTCACACACACACACACACAAACACACAATCATATAGGACATACACTAATGTCTTATCACCAGGTCAAGAATAATTTTGTAAGGCATCCCTAATGATCGCCATGAGAGAAAGATTATGTGTGTTGTGTTCAGTGCTATATTCCTAGAATATATCCACAATAGGGCCTGGAATTAAATTAAGCAGAAATCAATAAAAATGTGTTCAATGAATCAATGAATGAATAAAAACTGACATTTCAGCCTATCTGTAAGTAACAGAACATGAATTCATAGAAGTATTAGATTCTCATATCAGTGTGCTTATTTTTTTTTTTTACTTCTTAGAAAACACAAGTGGTTACAATCAAATATGTATTCAGAATTCTGGGAATAAGTGATTCTATTATAAAAAAAAACTTCCTGCCAATTACCTTTTGTAAATTCCTGCAAAAACCAATTATAAACTACCAAGATAACTGGGACCTAGGCAACCATCAATTCTCATGAAGAACAAATTAACCTGTTTGGTTTTTGTCTCTTACCTTGATCACTTTATATCTGTACCTATAAGGTTTTGCTTCTGGTTAGGGACAAAGAATATGCCAAATTATTCCAATATTTCTCACATTTCTACTTTTGTTTTCCTAGAAAATAGAATACGCTTCTAATGTCAGCCAATACTATTTCATCAAGTAAATGCTATATGAAAGCTTTCCAGAGGGTGATAGTTGATGACTTTACTGGAATTTTCTTTTTATCAATTTCCTTTTCTTCATCTTATTACCATATCAAGTTATTCAATTTTTACAAAAGTCTAATAACCCTAGAAATTGTAAAATATCTAGCAGTATATAATACAGCATAATACAGAAAATTGGAGTCTCTAAATGGAATTTTTAGAATTGTCCTCTTATAGGAAATCTGTCAGCATTTTATCTTAAACTTATAAGCTAGTTATGTAAGGAATTTTATCAATCCACATTAATAGTCCAAAACACAGAATTACTAAGTAAACTAAGGTTTATCCACTCACATTCCAAATTTCTTATCTTTGAAGATTTGTTTTATAGATTAGTAAATAAATTTCACAAGTTTGATTTTTACCCTCTTCGATAAAATGCACTTTTTTAGTGGTTCCAATCAAAAATTCCATTCCTCTAGAATTAACAAAAACTTATCATTTTAAGTTTAGTATGAAGCTTTTAATATACTTATAGGCAAGACACACTCATTTTGTGTAACAACACTGGAATATTTTCAGAACATTTTTTCATGTATTTTTTTAATGAAGTACTTAAATCAGTATTAGAGAAACATTTTATCAACATAGCATCGATAACAACACTTTGAGTTTCAACATGCTAGCTTTTCCTTGAAACCTTAACAAGCTTCCAGACTTTTCTCTTCTAAATCAAACTTGAGTACTTTAAGTGGTAATTAACATTTAATTAAAATTAAAATACATTTGTTGTGATTAAAACTACTTTTTTTAACAGTAACCTTTCTAGGTATAAGAATTATAATCGATAATTACTTTTTAAGCTTTTTAAAGTTCTATATTAAGATATGTGAATATAGGGCCCTCCCTGGTGGTGCAGCGGGTTAAAGCACAGCACAAAGAAGCTTAAACCACTTTCGCATGAGTTCGATCCCCGCCTGCCCTGGAGGTGACCACATGGCGGCGTGGCAGACCTCGCCTGACCTGCCCGCTGCTCCCCTCGAACAGTGTACTTCGTCAATCTGCCTGTTCTGCACCCCACTCTGTCTCTGGTGAATCCTCTCACCCTCCGCATCTCTAGCCTTTACCCCAGTTCTGTACGAATAAATAAATAAATCTTTAAAAAAAGATATGTGAATATAATGTAATATGTAACAAATACAACATTAAAATTATTCATAAATATATGCTATGAAATCAATGGCTTAATATTATAAGCCACACTTTTCAATTAATATTCTAATATTTTATTTAGCCACATTTCTCTCTCTGCAATATAATGTCCAACAAGTAACACAACATTAGCAGTTTAAGAGTAGAAAAGCATTCTTTAAAAACAAAGTCAAAGAGTATAATACAAACATCTGTTTATTCTACAAAACAATTCCAAGGAGCTAACTTAATGTTTGAATTGGCAGGATTCTTATACATATCCCAAATGCACATCTTACAGAAGGAAAAACAGATCCCCAAAAATCCAATGGTCACAATAAATGGACAGGACCCTGGGTCACAGTACCCTATTAATAAGGCTATTGAAGAATTATGAAGGTAATTAATAGAAAGACTGCAAAAAATTAAAATAATTAAAATTTGAATAACTAACAGAAAAACAAATAGAGGCTTGATAAGAAGATTGGCTGACCTAAAGAGCAAATCTAACATTTGAATTACCATACTTTATTACCATTATGACAACTGAGAACACCAGAGAGCTCATTGAGATTATCCTACTCATCATAATTGGTTGAAAGGAATAAAGCTGGACACTGATAAAAATTCAAAGGTACCTAATCTCAGGGGCCCAGACCTCTACCAACAGCTACATTTGATATGCTAACTAATTTTCAAATAGCTATAATGTCATTTTTTACTTGACTTTTATAAGGGGGATCAAACAAGTAACTCTAAAAAGCAAATATCAACAGAGATTTGTTAGTGTTTTATTTCCTAAGAGCATGATTAGAAGTAATAAGAAGACTCAAACTAGAAAAATATGCTAAAGAAGTAAAATGCAATATTTTGTATGTGATTTTTAATTTGGGGGAGGAAGAGGAAAATAGAGGAGGTATGTACAAAAAGTCACATGATTAAAGATTTACAGACAAAATAATTTTTGAAAAAGACATCAAGGTTTTAAAAACATCAATTTGAGGGCCTATATTATTCAGGCTCTAAAATTTACTAGCTGTTCTAGCAGTGTGCTAGAGTAGAAAGGCATGAGATTTGAATTTTTCTAGCATCCCCAGTTCCTATTTAATGTGACCTGCAAAGTTTCATAGTCTTCTGAGCCTAAGCTACCTTATCTGTAAAGGAAGAAATAATTATTACCATCTGACATAATTTGATTAAAACAAAAAATCATACTCAAACATTCAGGGATTAACAGTGGAAAGAAGATTAGATTGCTGCCTAAGGGAATCCATATCCTGTGGAAGAAATAAACAAATAAATGGAAACAAATCAAAGCTACAAAAGTCTAGAGGTACTACAAATTACTAAGGAAGCAAAGTACAGTGCCCAATTTGACCTGGGCATACGTTCGTGTGCGACTTCACACTTGAAGGAAAAGTAAAAGTTCACAGTACAGACATAGGGAAGGGAGAGAGAGTATTAGCATTGCAAACAAAAAGAAACTCCTACTCAGCAAACATACTCTCCAGTCACCATCACAAAAAAATATCAATACTTAAGATGCTTCTCCAAAATGTTATAAACTAAAAAGCAATGTAAAATTCCATCCAGCAAATTATCTGACTTTGATGGAAAAAATACATATTATTAAAAATAAACTGGAGGAAAACATAAAATATTACTAATAGCTTATCTTGATACTTCTCAATAAAATACAAATGTCTGCAAATTTCAATACTGTATATTTATAATTTAAGTACCCAGTTTGATGTTTCTGAATTTCAAGTGGAAAAGAAATTGCACATTAGTTAAGAGAGTGAGCTACAAAGGGGTGACTTATCGTTCACCATTGAAAATGTTAATAGCTGTCCCTAGCATTTCTTTTCATTCATTTTAAAATTTCCTCAGAAATGAGAGCCAGAGAAACCTATCTCCGTTCAAGTAGTATCTGTATTACACTGTCTCAAGAAAGCACTAAAAGTACTATAACCCTGAGGGCAGAAGATATCAAGACTAAGACAAGGGACCCACCCACATTCTATAAATTTGTCAGTAAAGAACACAATATCAGCTTGCAGATTAAATAAGCTAAAAATAATTATATATAATGAAATACTATTAACAAAAGCTAAGAAAACTGAACACCAGATAAAGTATCATGGTAAATAGTCAAAGACAGGAGAAAACACTTTGTCAACAAAGTAATTTAAAATACAAAATATTGGACCTCCCTGGTAGCACAGGGTTAAAGTGTCAGTGCTATCAACCTATCACCAGCCACTGTGGCATCAATTGATTCCTGGCCAGGGAGCTGACGCACATGGAGCAGCAGACCTCTTCTGTAGTGTCCACTGCTCCTCTCAACAGTGTATTTCAGTACACCTGCCTGTTGTTCTCCCCTCTCTCTGGTGAATCCTCTCTCCACCCCTTCCATCCAGGCACCTCTGGCCTG